CAGTGATTGAAACCAGTCGGATGGTATAACGTCCAGTTCTCAGACTCTACCTAAGATCTCAGTCAATCTAGCTGCTAAAACTGGACCACAATCCTTAAAAATCTCAGGAGCTAGCCTATCAGAACCTGCTGCTCTACCTCGCTTTAGATTTGCTATAGCTTTCTCAACTTCATAAAGGTTCGGAGGGCTTACGTCGACTTGCCATTCAGGATGACTGGAGATTGTGGGCAAAGTAAATGAGGCTGAAGGCCATTTGAACTGATCCCTAAAGTGTTCTGCCCATCGATCCAATCTCCTGGATTGAGAATGAATGATACAACCATCCTTTTCTGAGATGGTCTCGCTAACAGATGGATTTCCAATACCGGTTTCCTTTATTATGCTGAATAACTGTCTACTTTTGCCTGTTGCCGCTGCATTTTCCATTGCTTTTGCTTTCGACAACCACTACTGTTCGCGATCATTGCGTAGGCTTTTTATCAGCTTGTGCCTAAGCTGACTTCGCCCTACGTCATGTTCAGAGTCAGGTGAGATGCGTTCTCGAGCATCCATCAGTTCGGTGGATGAGACTGAAATCCACTGCTTCATCCTGGCCTTGTGGTTTACCTTGCTAGAATATATCACTGCTGTTTTCACAGCCTTCTTGATATGAATCCAACCTGCACGGTCGCCTAACAGTCTTTCTAGTTGCTCCTGAAATATTTTCTTAGCTTGATTATCATTAAATAAGGCTCTAAGTGGCTTTCTTACGGTGTCTTTCCTACGTCCAGTAAGCCTCAAACAGTCCTATATCGAACCTTTCCATCGATGGCTGATGGCGATATGATCTAACTGGGCCCAATGTTGAGAAGACTTTGGGAGTCGCTAGGTCAAAAGATGTTATTCCTTATGCCTAAAACGTTTTGGAGGAGGTTCGATAGCTTTCTGTAAAACTCATCTTCTATATCGTCTGCACTGCACTCAGTGGGGGCATTGGCAGATATGACGAAGAGGCAACGACGAGTGTCCTTATCCTTTCGGAACCTCACCGTCCCGTTTAGTGGGAGGGGGCACAAGCGACTATCTACAGGGATCCAGTCTAAGAGAGCTAGTTATACTCTACGACTCAGTGGTATATCTACACCAGCAAGACCCCTGGAAGCAGCATCAGGGCTACCGGATACACGAAGAGTAAATCGGGCTTCTTCTTTGTTTTGACAAGGTGAGGTCAAGCGAATTATGCTACTCGGCTCCTGTATGCGCGTTTCCGAGACGCAGCACACATCTATGGCGCGAGATGTTATTGCAAATGAGACCTGCTGCCCTATTTGACACAATGTCTATACATTAAATGCTCCAACATGTAGCCTAGAGCGGGGTTTCAGGAGACCAGGAATAACGTTTCGAGGACTAGAATCGTTAGCAGCAGAGGTGTGGGGAGATAAAGGAATCTGAGAAGAGATAGTCGTGGAGATAAGAGAGATATTACGACGTGTAAGAAGGATTTGAATTTGAACACTTCGGTCTTCCGTGCTGGTAATGGTATGAAGGCGGTTGTCACATCCCGGCTGCACACAGAGTAGAAGGGTGTTTTTTGAGGAACCTGGAAAGGAAGGTAGATTATCGTTGGTCTTAACCACCTGGTTACGTGACAACATAGCCCTAGGGACAAACTCTTGAGGCCGGTCACGCACGGTCTTTTTACGAGAGGTTTATTGAGTATTAGCTACGCTCTTAAAAAGCCATAGTGGACACCCTTACCGAAGGAGACAGAAATCCGTGAGGTAGGATGAGGTGCGACATTTTCAGGGTCGATGTTTTCTAACACTTCCTTCCTTGTGAGAAGGCAGCATCGCTGCAGATGCTGGTTGTCCAAAGGAAACACATTACTCCTGTCACACCCCTCTGCAGTCAGCAATATAGCTCGGTTGGGTCATCACGATAGTCAAGCCCGACCACCAAATCATGTTAGCAATTTCGGATGGGTACTTCCTAATATCTTCGCAGTATTTTATGTACATTTATGTGCAAATATATGTTTGCGTTGCTGCCATTCTTTGAAAAAACTACAACCACTGTAGTCAAGTAAGTCAGCTCTTTGAATTTCAGAATAACATAAACATGTAACTAAATCTAACTATTGCGGTTACACGTAAGAAAAGATGTGATTACCAGTGAGGTATTGAATTTGTATTTTTCGAAATGTTACAGTCAACTTATACGACAAAACTACCACTTTTTATCCGAAAAATATATCTTCAGATTAACGTCCGAAAGACCATTTTTCTCTTGTGATTCATAGTCGAACTATGAGTTGACTGTGGTCCGCCTCAACACACTTAAACTCTACTTTCTGCTTCAAATGTTGCGATCATATTTACTTTTACATTTATTTTCTCTCCATCCTCCCCTTATTTCTCTTAAATGGATTTCATGCTTCCGGAGTTGCTGAATAAATTAGTAAAATGTTTTAAGATTAACGTTTCGTATTCATTTCATCACTTATACATGGTGCTTACGAATTGACATCAAGCAAAACAAGTGGTTCCTCTTTAATTGTATGTACAACATATACTTTGCCACTCATCTTTATTCCTTTCCACAAACAAACTCGTCTATGATCTTCATGTATTTCCTGTCTTCTCTTATATTCCTTATTGGATTTTGGACGTTGAGCGGTCTTTCAAATGACTGTGCAATATAATCAACTTGTTCTCACTGGAGGTCCGGGTGTATTTTTCAGACTGCTATTAAAGTATAATTCATGGTGTCTATACATTTTCTAGATGGAGAGGATGTATTTTCAAATTGATCTACATCGATGTTATTGTTTTCATGGCTCTATATGCATTTATCAGTTGTGTTTATCGTTTCGTTCTGTCAGTAGAGTTACAGAGGTTTGATTTCCCTTTTCAGAATCTAAATACTTTCAGAACTTTTGAAGACGTCATCATGTTTACTCGGAGCTTCCAAGGTCTGATCCCGGTTTCTTTCATACTTGGGTTCTATATCGATAATGTGTTCACTAGGTTTTGGAGATTATTCATGACCATTCCATGGGTGCTTAAATTTGCCATTTCAATTGCTGGGCATCTCTCTGGAGACTCTGAACGTTCTCGTTTAATGCGACGCACATGCTTTCGGTACATGATGTCAAGTCTAATAATGACTTCTACACGTCTCAACCTAATTGCTAAGAAGCGCTTTCCTACACCAGAATTCTTCGTTGCTGCCGGTACAGTTATTATGTTTTGCGTTAGAATATGGCCACTCAAACAGTAGCATTGAAGTATTGATACACTTGATCATCATTGTGGATTATTAGTTGGTAGATATTTGTGCGTGATTCTACGTTGCGTTTGACAGACGAACTGGTCGAAAATTGAGTTACTAGGCGAAGAAAACCTTATGAAGCAAACAATCTATTTTATTTCAAGGCTTAATATAAACTTCGAACGGCTTAAAATCTCAATGAACATTATATACATATAATATATATAATTAGGCTATTTTTATTTTTTGCCATATTACATTGGTGTATTACTCTATATACATATAGACAGAATAATTGCAGGATTTCATACGTAAGTACATCAGTTCAGGTTTCCATACCACGTCAGCACAAAGACGTAACTGTCAGTTCGAGTCCAAGAGTGATAGCGATAGTAGAAGTATTAGCAGTAATGAAGAAGATTAGGGAGCGAAAGTATGATTCGAGAAGTATAATTCAGTGAGATAAATATAGGAGCAGAAAGATGGAGATGAAGACGAATTCAGAAGGTTAGAACTAGAGAGAACACAAAGAGTGGATGCACGTGCGCCATTGCAAACGATTTTGATCCATGTCGTTCAAGGTCTCTAACCATCGGTAAATTTCGTCTCGCGGACCCCAACCAGGTGATAGCCTACATGTACCAACATGACTCAGTCCACTTGTCAGTGAGTTCATGGATTTGTGCCATGTTTTGTTCTGGCCGCCGCTAGCTTTCTCCCAACCTACTCCTACACCACAAAACATAGCTCGTCGAGGCAGTCGGTGGTTAGGCATATGTAACACATGTCCCGACCACCTCAACTGATGAAGTTCCAGTACTTCACCTATTGATCTGCCATCTTTACTTGGAACTCGTTTTGTAACGACAGCATTGCTTATACGGTTGTCCCATGATACACGAGCAATGCTTCGGAGACACCGATGATCGAAGACCAGTAACCTACGAAATTCTTCTACTCCTAACGGCCGTACAGTAGGACGGAGGTTTCAGACCTGGATGTGGCTGTTTAGGCTACATCTTCACACTACGATTGGTATTGGAACACAGACACGTTCAGGCATCCTGCAATAGTTTGTTTGGTGTTTATGAGAAGCCTAGCAACAACATAAACCATCACATCATCATAATCTTGTTTTTTTGTTTCGTTTGCATTCATCAAGGATTTAGGTAAGAAATTCCTTAAGGCGATCTGTGTTGTTAGCGAAAACCATATTAAGGTTGATGTCACCGTTGAAATATTGAGGATTGTATTACTGTGCATGGTAGTCAACGTTTCTGTCCGATTCATGATATTGTGGAAATTGGATGTTTAGATTCTCCTAATCGTTGTTGCGCTTCTAATCTGTACAGTAGTCTATAGTTCTGTGATATCCATCAAGTCCTAACATACTATTGTTGTCAGCAAGCAACAGTGAGATATACCGTCTTAAAATGTTTCTGTTCTACAAGCCATGTCTCAACTGTTCGTGGAGTTAAATAATTTATTTCCATCTGTTAATGAAACATCTAATCTACATTTTGCAGATGTATTTAACAGTTTGTTATACGCGCCAGATGGTTCGTATTGTCTTTCAGTGATATTTTGTAGGTTTGTTACTTAAGATATGTAGTTAGTAGAGAAGCATTATCAAATGCTATTTTCAGTATGTTAAATATTTATATATAATGATGATATTTTCGCATAATATTTTGCCATTAATATAGTCTGTGAGGTATTTTTCGGTCGAATTCGCTTCCTTTAATTAGGAATACTTACAGAAGAAGAGTTGGATATAATTACGAGCGTCAGTCCTATTCATGTTCAACCGTTTGTTCCTATAGTATGGACCACTTCCCTTATCACTCTTGCTGGAAAAGAAGGTTTTATTACGAATCATCATGCCTTGGTTTCCATCATTGATGTAAGTTTTTCTCAATTAAAGCTAGTTTCATGTATTAAACGTTCATACCTAAGGCGTCCAACCTTCAAAACTGCTTTTATGGTCATTTATTGAGAGTATTCATTTATATAGAAGAAAAACCTCTAAATGTCTAGTCAAAGTAAAAAAACGTTAATCACTAGTCTTTATGCTTCTCCATTACTTTCGCGATCCAAGTACTGTGATGTTTTGTATAATGCTTTTAAGTTTTCGAAATCTTATATAGACCATACACATGACCTAATTATGAGAAGGCAACATTAGCGCAGATGCTGAGCATGATAAGGGAAAATCTTACCACTATCACATCACAGTAGTCAGCGTTACGACCTCGCCCCCGGACTTTAAGTTACTGTTTTTAGTCCTACCGCTCTCTGATGTGGCAGGACCTGAAGTGTTCTAGCCAATACATCTGGGTTGGCATCGCGATATGCATAACTGAACTTAGTGTAACTTATTCACGAGATAGATATACGCGATAAATTTTGAGTCTTACCATGTAAGGGCTAGTGATAATACTCGGTATCCTGAAATAATGTCGCTCAACTTTTTCGTCTAACCATAATAATCTAGACAGAATCTCAATTTATGTGGGAGTTTATCATGAAAACAATAAATGTTTGCAATCAAATTTATTTCACCTTGAAGTTGAATTTTCTATTTTTTAATTTTCAGGAAATAAATAACTTTCGTCAGGGTCTGTTGGATATGTTTATGATCGATTTTGTTTGCATCCCATTAGTTTACACACAGGTTAGTTCTTTGGTAGACCTTTCCATACAGCATCAGCATTTCCACATACTCAGATAAACAGTACCTTTTTATGTTTACTTACATTTATTTCACTAATACTGTGCCATTTATTCTCCACTTTAGTTATATAAATAGCCATTCTATAAAAAGTATGGTAGTGTTTTCACTTCACTTTCTAATTTCCAAGAATCATATATGTTCCATCTATGGCGGCATGGTTGTAGTTTACTCACTGAATATCTTAAGTGTCACACTTTCCCGACCATCTTTATTCATGATCACATAATCAAGTGTTTGAAGATCCGAAACGTTTTGCAGAGAAATTTAGAAGACATTTTTGTGAGAATCGAGTCGTGATTGACTATGATCACCATTAGATACTGATTACGAACCCGTCACTGAGTAGATAAATAAATCCAGGGTAGAGAATGTATATTTGCTGGTGATTTTGTAGTGTCGAAAAAACGCCGAAATCATACCACTAAAGTGAACGAAATAAAGAGCAGCATGAAACAAAGAATGGCAGCAACACAACCAGAAAATTGCGCGTAAGTTAGGGTCTTTAGTACAGTTAAACAAAAGGAGTACGATAAATAAGTTATTGTTACAATTGTGTACAATGATAAATGTTTCCATTTCACCAATTGCGTTCCCTTCGTTACTAGTTATTATTAGATTCAAAGGATAATCTAAAATTTGCTGCATCGTGATTTGGTGTGAGTTTCCACAATAGTTGATAAATCTCCTTAGAGTCTAACAACAGCACCACCAGTTTCTTGAACTTGTTGATTGCGTCACAGATAAGAATATTAGTTAGAGATTTTGTCATGTTACTAAGAAATATAAACGCAATTATTTTTTGTGTTTTGCCGTGAGTAGTGTATATGGGTTGTTTCCAAGTCTGTAAGTAGGGTCACGATTCATAGTTAGGCGGGATTTTACAAATGAGAGGCCGTACATTATTTTATGGAGAAGTATAAAGTCATTTTCTGACCGACGACTCCATAGAGGTTCCAGGAAAAGATGCTTGTATCTTTCTGTGTTGTCTAGAGTATGTGTCCATCCTGACAGTCGTTGTGTGAAGCTTCTTTGGTGATTGTCTACTGATATCTTGTCTATTACGTTCATATTTAAAAGATAATTAAGCAATATCTAATTGAGGACCTTACAAAAAATTTGAAGAGTGTGGGCTCAGCCTTATGAGTCAAGAAGTTTTCATTTATAAGCCCCATTAACTGTCTACATTTACAGATAATAGGAGAGGCATTTTGTTCAAATTTTAGGCTTCCATAGTAACGAATACCCAGACCATGCAATGATATGAGTGTCTTAATGCATTATTTTTGAAATTATTTCTTACTGACGCTTACTAAAATGCATAGTGTCACATTCGTTATGGTAGCTGCCTGCCACTTTACATTTCAGGTAGGTAGGTTGTCAAGGTCACTGCTAATCGTGGCTATATTTTCGTCCAGATCTTCAGGGTTATATCTATATACTACTTTGACATCATTCGCCTATAAGTATTATGTTCCGAGTTTTATAGTTTTACATATATCTTTTATGTACATCAGAAACAAGGGTGAATCTAATACACTTCCATGGATAAATCCACTTGTTATTGGTCTTGATGATGAAAAGCAATAGTTGCATTAAATCATTTGCTGACATCCAACTAGGAATGAAACAAACAACGAAGTGAGCGGTTTAATGATTCCGAATAACTTTAGTTCGGGCAAGAGCCTTTTTGGTGGGACCTTATCAATAGCTTTCATAAAGTCGAAGAACTGGTGAACAATTACTGAGAGCTGAATAGTTATGGGTTTCAGCAGTTCGATTTTCCGGTGTCAGATCAGAAGCAATAAGACTTATGCAAACGACAAATAATAGTTTTCAGGAATGTAATCTGACGATTGTCACGTCCTTGCCGTATTACCAGTATTCTGTGATGATGAATTCGAACTCAGGTTAGCAGACGTCTGTCGTACAAATAAGCATTGATGGCTAGCTAGAGACAATAGTTATATCCTCCACTACACTACCTGTGTAGAATCATTTTTGAATGTTTTGTTTTTTGAAAAATCCCTCCATGTTTATATATTTTTGCTATGATATGACTGACTCTTTCTGTTGGCATTTTAGTATTATATTTGATTCCATTTTGAGATCTTATCATTGTATATTGTTATTATTTCTATATTTTGTACTTATATTGAAGTTTTATGTTTGCTTCTGA